ATGCCAGAGTTGGCTCTGGGGAAGTAGAGATGAGTAAGAATTCTTCCTCATTTTTTAAAAACATATTTTAGTTGGGACAACCATGCAAACAAATAAACAGAATGCAGTTTTATAAGAGTTATGGCAGAAGGCTTAGAACAACTATTCTTAAACACTTTTCTTCCCCAGTTCAACCAAAAAAGTAGGACACCCTCCTATCAGTAACATTTACCTTTTAATCCACGCAGCTTCTGAGAAGCCTGTCTTTGTGGCAACAGCCGTGATTCTCCCCTCTCCTGCTCCCCTCACTCCCAGCTCCTCCCTTTGAGAGTCCCTGATTTTGAGGTTACAGAGCAGTACAGTTGACTGAGATCCGGAGCAGGTACTCACATCTCCTTATGGGTCCATGAGTGTTACATTCAAGTTTTATTTGAGAGGTAGGGCGGTTTTAGCCAATGGCACTCAGCAAAGAGGTCCCACCAGTAGAGGGAACAACGGAGTGAAATAGACAAGCGGGCAATAGTGTGATGCCCCTGAAAGTGCACAAGGAGTTCGGGATGGCTAGAAAAAGGAAGGAGAGAGACAAGCTGAAAGAGATGAGACTAGAGGGGCAATTGTACCTTACAGGCGTGTAAAGGGTTTGGTTCTAGATCTTGTCAGAAATAAAGGATATTGAGTTGGAAAGAGATTAGCTAAAATAGAAAGGCTGGAATAGGGCACTATCGATGGGGAGGTTCAGGAGGGAGACAGATGCCAAAAACGCGATATTTTATCAGTCCACAGCAATATTTTTTTTAATAACAAATTGAGATGCATCTCAATAACTGATGGTGTCTTTAAAACATTGGCAGCCAAGCAGCAGTTGTTAGAGTATCATTGCTTGCACACTTATAAACTTCGTTAAAAGTATCCTTGGAAAGTGTTGTAATTTGATTGTTGCTGCTGGTGGTATGACTGGACAATTGCAATCTCTTAATGTTTCAGTTGAGAAAGTAAGATAATTTAGGGAAAGACAGGAGTCCTGTTTGTCCCCTTTGATGGTTTTGGTAAGGTTGACAATTCCCCAGCATCAAAATCTGTAGCATAGCTGTCTGCTCCTTGGAAGAAAAGGGACAATAACGGAGCACTATTTTACATAATGCTAAATCGCCAATTCTCTTGATTGCTTAAAGGACAATAATTTGGAAAAAGTTCCAGACTTTGACAATTCTGAGCTAAAGGCTAATTCTGAAAAGTTGGATGCTGAATGAAAAGTTTAAGGAATAACTATTTTATTTATATTTTCCTTTTTACCGGTATGTATAGAAAAATACGATTGATACATAACAGAAATCTATGTCAAAGATGAAGTCAGTTTAAGAGGGCCCTTACAATGATTACAGAATTAAAATTTTAATTGCTAAGAAGGCATGGTGTCAAGAGATTAATTTGATTTTATTCATAACAATATAACTATCTTACAGCAGATAGCGTCTTAATTGTGATGAAATATGGAATTAAGAAAATCTTTAGGTATGTGGGGACTGAATTATCAATTACAGACATAAATATTCATTCAATGTTGACAATAATAGGAATAAAAAGAGAAAGGTGAAAAAAGAGGAAAAGAAAATATCCTAAATAATACTTTCTAATATGAAACAGGTGAATAATTAAAATATATAATGATCATCAGGAAAATTGTGTTAAAATGTATGTAAAAATGTATAGCATTAAGCAAAAAAGCACAGTAGATTATTGTTTGTTTACCATTANACACTTTTCTCACCTTTCTTATGTCTATACTTTGTTTCCCCTGACACTGGGAATCTTCAGGCCATGGTAAGTCATCTTCAATTTGTTTAAGTAATATTTGACAATCTTCTCAAATGTACACTGCACTTATTCATGGGATAAAAGAGGAAAAGATGGGGAAATAAACACACAGAGACATACAAGTCTAAGTTGGGTTCTCCAAAAATTTAACATCTGGTTCAATTATGAAAGAAAGATCAACTTATGTAAACAGGTGCACATACAGACTAAAATAGGATAAAAACAAAATTTTAGAGACAATTGTTATCAGAGATTGAAGATCAACTTGGATGAACCCTTGGAGGTAAGCCATCTATAGGTCTGCACAGTAGGATGGAGATGGGTGAGAGTGACTTTCCCACTTTATATTGTGTTAAACTGTATCTGGGTGCATGGTTTTGTAGCTACAAGGAGATATATTTATGACCAAATACATTATTCAACTATAATTTCCCTTTGCTCCTAATGGGAGAGCAGATTTAATATTCCCATATAAAACTTCTGATTTCCAAAGTTTTCTATAGCACTGTCAAGTTGATTATATTACATACGTTTCAGGTAGGAGCAGTATAATGGTTCTGTTTTACAGGGGAAACTAAAGGGACTTAACTCCTTTGAAATCACCTAAGTTATTAGCAGTGAGTGAAAAAAAAATCTGGGCTAATGATTCCCAATTGATAAAATGGGCCCTAGGAAAAAAAAATATCCTAGCTAGATATGGAAGAATATTCCAGGGAACTGTGAACAACTCAAGAACCATCTAGCACCAATTGTGATTCAAGGCCATCACACACATCAGCTCATTCTGTACCAATGGTCATGTTTTATGAAGGAATATGATCATGACCAGCTTGGGGGGAAAAAAAGATTCTAAAAGCCCATTCTAGCCTGGAAACCATGGGCTGGTCACCCTGCCTTGTGGGACCTCAGTTTTGTAATCTTTCAAATGTAGGAGTTGGGTTTATGATCTAAGGGGCCTCTTCTAGCTCTAATGTTCTATGATTTCACATTCTGGATGAACTGGCTGACTAGTGAAAATGGCAGGTCTCTAGTGACTAACTATGAACAACGGTAATATATGTGCTTACCTTTTCACATTTGGCTGAGCAACTACCTCATGTACCAATAACTCATATTTCTATTTATTTTAGACCTTAGCTGCCCGGAAGTCTGGACTTTCCCTGGCTATGGTGATTAGGGCATCACTAAATAACGAGGAACTGGTAGGTACAGAGTCAGTTACTAACTATACATCCATCGTAGTCCAGTGGAAAACCATTCTGCTTGATCTGCTCATTTCTACTGTTCACGCTGATATTCCAAGAATAAGTGGGAGCATGGGAGGAGGCTGACCCTAAACAAATGTCCTCTGGGCCTCAGTTTCCCTATCATACAAATTATCCTCTGCTGCTCAAACATGCAC